ATACACGATTGTTAATGATGAATCATTCTCAGTAAGTTTCACAGTGAAAATTGTTCTCGATAGGATGATTACTTCTTGTTCATCTGGAAACTTTGAAATGGGAGGCAATGCATTAGACAACTTCTCCAGCTGAATAGCTGTAAAACATGTTTGAGCAAAATTGAAAACCATTAATACTTGCCGTCGTTCATTATTTTCTCGTGCTTGAACAAAACGTATTCGTCACCAAAAAGATATTGAAAGCACGACGACGTAGATAACGTAGAGTATGAAAAATTGGTGAAGCAAGCCGCTTCGCTCAATTCTTTTCCTTGATTGATATAAGTGTAGAACGGTGTTTCCAACGTAAATAAATGAATAAGTGAATCAGATTTTCTACTTTTAGCGAACTGACTCATTAGTTCTCGTGTCTTAGTGTAATGTCGATGCGATGAAGCAATATGTTCGTTGGCAAGTACTAGTAAAGAATCCTTTTGTCGTTCTTGCATTGGATCATATGATTGACCAAAAGGAAGACGATCAAACAATGCAGTAAATATGTTAGGATAGTGACAGTAAATGTTATCGATGTGATATTCTCTTACATCGAGAAAATCTTCCAAGCCGTGCAACCGTTTCGATTAATTGCATTCGACCGCGACATGTAGAACAGTATTATCATTTGGTTCCTGACGATTGATTGTCTCAAAAGAAGATGTTTCAAGTAATACGCACGTCATTAATTAACACTTGAAGTTTGGTTTTCTATTTGAAAAAAATGATCTCATGAACAACAGAGTATTACAATGTCTTTATTTCGCGAAGAAATATTTTCATAGAATGACTAACAGTACTTCACATTTTTGGTAGAACAAGATAAGCAGTACATATTTCTTTTGCACGCACACACTCTGACAATCTGATAAACAATATAATATAATATGCTGGAGAATACCTATCGTATACGGCGGAGGGTGCGCGCGTGGACTATCTCTTCCTGAAAACGAACAGTAACACGTATAGCTCGAAGTACATTTAATAAAATATTAACAGATTGAGGAATGATTATGTAGAATAAAAAAGAACATTATGTTGTGAAGAACAATTTTAACAAGATCTCAAAAAAACTGTCATACTATTAGCAGCTTCGTTAGCGACGGCAAAATCCAGTCGAGAATCATTGTCGAAATCACCAATAGCTAAGGAGCACGGCGAAGTGTTAAAGCCTGTGGAATATGTCGTTGGACTTGCATAACTTCCATTGCTATATCCAAAAAGTATGTTTACACTGTGAGATCGATAATTCGCTACGGCAATATCCGGCCTCATATCATTGTTGAAATCATCAACGACGATCGCTCGAGGGTCAGCATTAGTATCAAGGAAATATATTACGGAAGATGTAAAACTTCCATTTCCATGTCCAAAAAGAACATAAACTTTGATACTAGAGGAAATAGCGACAACGACATCAAGACGTGAATCATTGTTAAAATCACCAACAGCAAGAGCTGATTGTGAACTTGATTCATCACCAATGTACGATATCTTTTGATTTGAAAACCTTCCATTACCATTTCCCAGAAATACACCGACAGCGTTACCAGTCACATCAACGACAACAATATCAAGTATGTTATCATTATTGAAATCACCGACAGCGATTGAGTATGGCATAAAACCAGTATCAGTGAAATACGCTCTCGAAATTGGGAAATCACCATTACCATCTCCTAGGAGTATAACGACATTTTCAAACAAAAAGTTAGCAACGACCACATCGAGCTGTGAATCATTGTTGAAATCACCGACAGCGATCGAGAATGGACTAGATTCATCACCAGCTTCAATCTTTCTTTGCGCTTCAAAACTCCCATTACCATAGCCAAGAAATATACCAACATTGCCATGCAAACTATTAGCGACGATAATATCAAGCTTATTGTCGTTATTGAAATCTCCAATAGCGACTGCTTGTGGTCGAGAACCAGCACCTGTGGAATACGTTGTCGCATTGGTGAAACTCCCATTACCATATCCAAGAAGTACGCCTATACTGTTACTGCGCCAATACGCTAAAACAATATCTAAGTGTTTATCATTATTAAAATCAGCAACGGCCATTGATCTCGGTTGTGGACCAGAACCAGCGGAAAGAATTTGTGAAGTTTTAAAATCTCCATCGCCATATCCAAGACGTACAATAATATCACCATCACCATACAAGGCCACAACAATATCGAGTTTAGCGTCTGCATTGAAATCGCCAATAGTAACAGACATCGGTAAAGATAAAGAACCAAGATCATACGGATTTTGAAGTTCAACACTGCCGTTACCATATCCAAGAAGTATTCCCACTAAACTAAACGATCTATCAACGAAAGCAATGTCTAATCTGGTATCTTTGTTAAAATCACCCACAGTAAGCGAATATGGTTGATGAAATGATGTATTAGAATATGTTATCTGAGCTGCAAAACTTCCATCACCATTGCCCAGAAATATCCCAATATTGCTACTTCTAGAATTAGCAGTGGCGACATCTAGGTTATTATCACCATTGAAATCACCAATGGCAATCGATATCGGGCTAGAGTGAATTCCGGTTGAGTATACCGATTGTTTTATAAAGCTTCCATTGCCATACCCAAGAAATATACCTAAATTTCCAGTATTCTTATTAGTAACACCTATATCCAATCGATTATCATTGTTAAAATCACCAACAGCAATCGAAAATGGATTGGAATCATAGCCAGTAGAGTACGTGATATGGTTTGAAAACCTACCGTCTCCATATCCAAAAATTACACCTATATTTTGAGTATCAGGACTCGCAATAGTAATATCTAATCCATTATCATTATTAAAATCACCAACACCAACTGACTGTGGACTAGAAGATCCAGTGGATATTGTCATTTGCGATGTAAAAGTTTTATTACCGTATCCAAAAAATATACCAATACTGTGACTCTTACGATTAGCTACGACAATATCTAATAGATTGTCATTGTTGAAATCACCAATAGCGACTGACTGTGGCTGAGAAGAGAAGCCAGTGAATAGTGTCGTTGGATTTTCGAAAGTTCCATTACCATAACTAAAAAATATACCTATACTGTTGCTATCAGAATTGGCGACGACGATATCCAATCGTTGGTCATTATTTAAATCACCTACAGCCATTGAGATTGGTGCTGAAGACAATCCTAATTTATGCTCAATCATTGTGGAAAACATAGATGGACATAATTGATCTAAGTATAATAATAAGAAGAACAACTGACAACTTTTCTTCAAGTAGATATTACTACATTCGACATGCTATGTGGTTGATGGAGAGAAAAACATTTACTATATTAGTCCTTAAAATCAACTATGGTCACTTCTAAGCAAATAATTCGAACACACAACATGTTATGTTTCAAATAATTCATTACAATATTAAAAGTGTCGAAATCATTGATTACTATATCATCTATATTCAAATGTAAGAGAAGATATTAATGTAGTAAAAGAATATGTTGCAGTCAAAAAAAAAAGGAATGTTTCGACCTTTGTTATTGTCTTATCAGTCATTTTCAGCTTTGATTCTAAACAAAACTTAAAACCAAAATCATAATCTATGAAACAAATATCGTACCATTAGAATCGTTTACATGTATTTATATTACATTAGTAACTAAGATTATGACTTGAGTAAAATTTCGTTTATAGATCATTATTAATTTGGTGCTATGAATGTTATCTCATGGTTTATGCCTTTGATCGTATTTGTTTTTAGGTTTTCGTTTTGATTATCATATTGGTTTTGGTTAAAGCTAAGGGTAATCGATAAAACAATTGTAAAATGTCGAAATATTCTTTGTTTTGATTATAACATGATTTTACGATATTAAAAAACATTGTGTTTTCTTCATCAATATTTGTCTCGTGTGCCTGAATGTTAAGTATGAAAAAATCTGATTGGTCGATAATTGATTGATCAAAGTCAACCATGCTTACACCTCAGACAATCAGCTTTTTGTATCTTCAAGATGAGAAATCAACTCGAAACTTTCGAGAATCTAATTTCCAATTTTGGTTCTTCGACGCCGAAAGCCTTTGATCTACCTTTAAGAAGAATTATATTTTCGTAACATGTGCTTCTCTTAATGAAAAAGGTCAACTGACGAACGACGAAATTGGCCTTTCTCTCAAAAAGTAAGTTTCTCATTTTCTCCATAGTTACTTTTGATGTCAGGTATTGATCGCCATTCGAATTAGATAATCTGACTTTATTCCAGGTTCATGACCGATTCAAAACGTGATAATATCGATCTCCTATATCGTTTCTCTATGCAATCTTTAAAACGAAGCCTTTTCATCCTCCTTTAGTTCTTTTAATTTGAGTTGTATATTGATCGAAAACATTTTCAGATGTGAATGACAATACCTATATCCATATTCACATCCTTCGAAAAGGCTATCGAAGTTGTCTAGACGAAAATGAGCAGAGAATCTCATAATCAGTGTCGTCATATTGTACATACTAGAAAACAATGCCATCTAAAAGAAGAAGCATAAGAAGAGTACTTTGTCATACTTGTATGTGCCATACGATAGCGAAAATAAAGTGCTTTCATTTGATATACAACTCAAATTAGAAAAGCTAAAGAAGGATGAGAAACTTTCGATTTAAAAACTTGAAATCACAACACTATAGGAGATCGATATTCTCAAGTTCTGAGTTAGCCATGCACACCTGTAATGATGTTTAGATGTCTGATTCGAACAACAATCGACATCTAACATATTTTGTTACTCGGTAACGTAACTGATCAGTAACAGTAACGTCCATCTGTTACATGTACTTCGCTTTACTTTATTTGAGTTTCTCCCAAACTTCAAATTGCGTTTGAAGTAAATCAAGTATAGTTTTTCTTTCTCTCTTGAAAGATCCTCAATTCACGGACATGTTGAAGTATTCATCATTGGATAACTTAAGTGTCAAAAACTAATCTCCTTTTTTGCATTAGAAGCATTTAAATATTCTCCAGATATGAAATATTAACATACTTTTTTTATCTGATGAATTAAAACAAACTATTAAAACACCAATAGTCATTAATATACTTGCAAACAAAACAAATACACAGACCGGCATCCAAAGATGCGAATTTACCCGAATCCAATATTTTCTAAGGAATACAAATATGAAGTAGGACAATCGAAATATTAGAAAAGGAGACATACAAAGAATATGGAGTCTCGTCTGCCGCGATCGATATATCATCTGAGCCGATTGTAAATGGTGGCATTATTCAACTTGCAGTCGTGCTTGTATTATCTTGTGAATTTACAAAAGATTCTGAATCAACAGATGAGTGTCTTTGTCATGTGACTTTATTATTCCATGAGAATATATTTATCTAAAAAACAAAAAAACAAAACTTCTAAAAGTCCAGATATTCATCTATTTTTATTTGAAGGAAACATGAATTTGTTTTCAGACATACTTGGCAATACCACGCTCTAATTAATATCTTGAATTTTCGTCTTATGGTGTGCTTTTTTCTGAAAAACTATATGCACACTCATTAAAATAATACATGAATAAGCATAACAAAGCAATGAGAGTATGACACGCTTCATTAATATTTAACGCGGTGCGAGGTACAGTATTTATGCAGATTGACGCAAGTTTTCTTTTTTTTTCTTAACGTATGTATCGAAAGTTTCTACTTTGTGTCATGAAGATTATAAGAATGGAAAATCAGAAAATTTTCATTCAATCGAGACGATGAGATGTAAAAAGTGCGAATAGTTGATAAACGTTTTCAGAAATATATGAGATAGTTATGGTTGTTTACAAATAATCCTGAGAAAAAGGTGAATTATTGACAACCTTTTATTTTTTGTGTTTCGAGATAATTAAAATGAACATACCAAATAGTGATAGTTGCGAACCATTTCGATATAACTAATGCCATTTATTACAGTTGTGAAGTCATGTGATAATAGGTAACGAGTCACAAGTCTAACTAAAAGATTATATGTTAATGAACACTGATAGAGTCCTTGGGATAGTTATTTTTGTCATGTTTATTTTACGATTTCTTTTCTACTCAGATCAAGTCTGGTTATGTTGACGAAAAAAAACGTAACTCCCGTAGAGCAAGAATAGTTAATGCTTTTGTCAAAGCACAGAATTTATGTGAACGCATCAAGATAAAATGTGTCGTATTTTGTAACACAATATATGACACATCCATTATATTGCTCGATTGACTTACGAACGCATTCATGGTCATATTTTACAATCACCTTCAAATAATGAGTCGTATCATATACTCTATTCTCCAAAATAATTTTTTAAAATATTTTATTATTTATTGATTTTTCAACTCATTATCATACAGCCATTTTTTTGAGATAGTGGATTTTTTTTTCGTATTCAATAATTACATTCTAAGTAGCTATTGTTAATTTTTTCGTAACAGAATTTTTAAGTTTGTTGTTGTTGCTGCTACTTTTATAAAGTACAAAACAATCTAGTACTTGCAATATTAGTTTGTTATATTGTAGAAATTCAGTATCAGAAATATAAAAAATGATCAACAAGATAGGTATCATATATGCTAGATCAGTTTTATAATCAAAATCGACTAAAATTCGATTCGAATAGGTTAAGTAAAAATATGATTGTTTCCGATGGATACAAAAATACAGTAGCGGTGGTTAGTTCTCTTCATTGAGCAGCGGAATAAGGCTTAATGTGTGGATTCATCTTATTTTAACCCACATTCACACTTTAATGTCGCCAGAATAGATCTATAATTATATACAATATTAACAAAAAATAATGTTTGATTTTTTTAAAATAATTTCTTCTATGTTTATTCTTAAAAAAATGATATACATTTTTTCAAATAAAAAACTAAATACAAGTTTATATTTTATTCTTTATATCATAAATTAATTGATAATTATTTAAATATTTAATTGAATTGAAGTAATTTCAACAAACTGTTTTTGTCGAAGCTGTAACTTCGATACAACATATATATATATAAACTAGATTGATCGGTAGAAGATTGATGCATGAATCTACTTCATATATGCATAGTATTTATTTTTCATTTTTCTTTTATTCTTCCAGATGGTAAATGCATCTTGTTGAAAATTCCGATAAACTAATGANAACATAAATTATTTAAAACATCTTTGCATTGAAATTATATACTATGTTGTTTATATATCCATCGCAAAATAGGTTTAGTTTGTGTGTATTGATGCTCATGAGTGAATTAATGAAGCATGACTTATTACTGATAGATTTTTTAATATTAGGTATATGTTTTGTTTGTGAAATTCTAGAGCGCTCATAAATGGAGTGATATACTCAAACGACAAAACAAAAAGGAGAAAAATATAAGACCATCATATTACTTACATTATCATAAAAACATGAATATAAATAAATAAACAAATAACGACTAAGAAGTAAGTACACATAGTAAAGGTATACAATAAGAAGGGAAAATAAACAAGAGTATTTTAAAAAAATAAAAGAAGATAAGTGTTAGTACTTTAATTTGTTACCATAATTTATTTATTTATTTTCAGCAAATGTCAACCGTATTCTTAACAAGAATTTATGTTTTAATTTCACTTTCTTCATTCATCTTTGCTGAAAAATTGATCTAATCCGAATTTTATTTTAAAATTCGTTCCATAATGAAGTATTTTTGAAAGAGTGAAGTTGAAAGAACTGATTTACAGACTTTTTAAATTGTTTTCCTGATATATTCTTACATAACAATCTAGAACTTTTCTTCTCTTATCTGGAGCTATTTATTCAGTTTATTAGGGAACTGAATGAAAACATCCAATCAAGCTAACAATTACAAGTTCCTTTTTAAAATTCATATGAGCTATAGATTAAAGGTTTATAACATTAAGTAATTATATTCTCTACTATTTATGAAATCATATTTGAACAGGAACAATTGATTTGGTGTGTACTTTAACTATTCAACTGCTTTGTCATCCAATTGTTGAGAAGCTTATTTAGATAAACAGAGATTATTTGATGTCACAGGTCGCCAGAGTCTTTTTTCATGAGACACCTACCAAATAGAAGAAGATATAAACACTGTTATGGGTGAACGAAATCGATAGGTTACAATAAATGACATGATGAGTTCGTCGGAGCATATTGAACTTTTCGTAAAAAGAGGGTGAATTGAATAGGACG